CGGGAAGCCAGCGCTGAGCCCAAACGGGCATGCAAGCGTAGGCTCTCTGCTGTCCCCACGTCCTCCCCAGGGTGCAGAACTGCCCCCTGGGACATGCCTTGTGTGCCACCCAACCCCCAGTCCCCCCTCCCCACCCACATAGGCTGGGCTGGACAGGGGAACTTCTGCCTCCTGGCTCTCACTCCACCCACCCCTGCCCTACAAAAGGCCCCTTCCAGGGGACGTGAGACTGCTTTGTGAACCCCAGGAGATTTGGGATCCAGGCGGGGTTGACCCTAGGTCTGGGGAAGGGGGTAGCAGCTTCCAGGCAGACCTCCTGGAATGCAGTTGTCACCCTGGGGTGACACCCACGGGGGGGCCTGGCAGCCTCCACTCGCCCACCCAGCCCGGACAGCACCCAAGTCTTCTGGCGTCACCCAGAACCACCATGGAAACTTCAGGCCTCTCTAAATTCCTGGCACCAGGGAAAGCCCAGCTGGAATCTCCTAATCCCCTTAGCCCCTGTCAGAAGCCCAGGAAACCATGGCAGGGGGAAGGGGTGGGGGAGACCCTCGGCCTCACTGGACAGACTGAGAAATCCTAAACAGCTAAAGAAAAGAAAACGGAGGAGACGAGGGTCGGACCACCCACACCCCTCATCTAGGCGAGACCATGGAGACCCATCACAGCTGGAGCCACGGCTACTTGGGCTGATCCAGCACCTTCCTGAGCAGAAGCTTCGAGTGCCCAGGACACCACCTGGAGGAGGAACAAAGGCGCTGAGTGTCCCTCACGCCACAGGAGCACTGAGGCAACCTCCCTGTGCTCTGCCCCCTCTAGCCCTCTGCCCTTGCTCAGCCTTCCTGCCCCGGGGCCTTTGCGCGAGCCACGGTGCTTCCCACCATGACTTCAGGTCCCTGCCAAGACCACTCCTGGAGGCCCCCAGGCTTTCCAGACCCCGTCAGGTTCCTTTCTTTTCAGTCGTCCACTCCTGCTTGTAGCAAAGAAGCTAGGATGTGGCACCTGGGACGACAGTGCCAGCCTGCTGTGCACAGATCTGCAGTCCGGGCAGGGCTCAACTGGGAGGCCTCAGGCTGCCAGAGTCGTCACAGTGCAGTCGTTGTTACAGGGACCAGGTAGAGGTCATGCCCCCTTGTGACCTCGGGTCTCTCCTGACCAAATACCAAATGCCCCGGGTTCACAGGGAAGGAATGCAGGTCCCAACACCTATCATCTTTGGAAATCAATCTGCCACTCAGTCACTGATGAAGGAATGAGTGAATTGACAAACCGTGGTGAGGAAAACGGACCAACAACCTTGGTCAGGGAGCAATGTCAGGCCTGGGGACAGAAGACCACAGGGCCACGCTCTCTAAAGGCGGGATGCACTGTCCAAGCCAACTTGGCCCCATCACCCTCCATGCTATCCATTCACCCACCCAGCCCACTCCCACTGGGCAGCTACTGCAGGTGACCATTCACCCTAGGGTGTCAGCACCCTCCAAGCAGACAGCCTATGTCCTTACTTGGGGGTAGCCGGGGAGACAGGAACTAACGGTGATGTAGGCAACCTGGGGGCTGGTGTCCAGGGATGGTTCCATGAGCCCAGCTGCCCGGGTGGAGTCCAAATGACAGGAAGACAGTCTTGTCTGGCCAGACAGCAGGAACATTGGGGCTGGCAGAGGCCCGTGAGATGCATGATCTGTTGCGTGCTGTGTCCCCATGGGGGGCTGGCCACAGGGCTATCCACACTGAGCATGTGCCCTGCTCTGCATTCCAGCAGGGAGCTTATGGGAGATTTGCTTATTTCATCCTTGGCGATCGATAAAGTGTAATTACTCTGAAAGAAGACCCACTGTCGTTCTGCCTGCAAGATAAATGTCATCCATTTCAAAGCCACTGAGGGCCAGTACAGAGTCATGACCGCCAAGGTTGGGGAGACGCAGCTCTCCAAGGGCCTTGAGAATGTTTTAGACCAAAAAGCAAAAACTCTTGGCCCCAAAAGGCAAGAGCAAACTGCAACTTGGAAATAAACCTAGCCTGGGGCCAGCAGTACTGACATCGCTCTCAGAAATGCCAAGTCCCAGGCTCCAGCCCCACCGTGCCCACCTCTGCCTGCTCCAATACAGCCTGCTCCAATAGAGCCTTGCAGGGCGCAAGTCGGAGCACAAACCCCAGGAGGCAAGAGCCAGCCAGGCCTCAGGCTTCTCACCACGCAGCAGCTGAGCCAGTGCTCAAGGTCATTCCTGGGACACCAGCCCCCAACAGGAAGGTCATCGGAAGCTGCCAAGGGCAGGGGACGGCAGCACCAGGTTGGGAGTCTCTGGCGGGAGTGTTCCGCCCAGCACCCCTCACTCCCCAGAGCACCATCTGCCCCGTGGGCCCGGCCCAGTGTCTCCAGGTCCACCTGGCCCCACGCAGGAGGCCTCAGACAGCACCCTGAGCTGGGAGCAGAAACCCTGTGCATACAGAAGGCAGGCGGGGTGGGGATGAGACAGCCCTCCGAGATAGGCCTGGAGGCCGCAGACAAACTCACTGGAGCACTCAGCCTGCTCTAGCGCCCCCCCCACATACCTAGGGGTCAGGAACGTTCAGGTCCCAGGTCAGCAGGGCAAGGATGCAGGGGACCTTGAAGGCCTGTCTGTCTTCCTCCACACCTGCTCCTCCCACCAGGCAGAGGCCAGCCTACCACAGTGCCCCCCACTCCCTATGTGCCCCGTGCCAACCCAGCCCACGTGTGTCATCTGCCTGGCTCCCGCAGAGATTAGGGTCAAGATGTCTAGCCAACCTGCCCACTTCCACCCGCCCTGGGGAGCTCTGCTCCCACCATGGGGCCCTGAAGCTAGGACCCGTGACACTTTGGGACATTGCTAAAACAGCATGGATGACTCTGGCACTTGGATCTGGCTACACCTGAAGCTGTCCCGTGACACCCGCCACCAGAACCCCCTTCCCTGAGCCTGTTTTGTCAATTCCACCAGAACATGTCAGGTGGCACCTGAGCCTGTGGAGCCAGGAGCAGCATCACAGCCGGGGTGGGGGGCTGGGTGATAGTCGTGGAGTCTGGCTGCAGTCGTCTCCATCCTCAGCCTGAGGTTGGCTGTTCTCTCACAGACAGGGCGGCTCTTTGGCTTTAAGAGCCAATACCTGCAGCCTCTCCTGGCCGCTCCTTTGTCTCCTAGTGCCTGCATCCACAACCCCTCATGGTAGCTGCCACCTGCTAGACTCGAGCCCCCAGTATCCTGTCACCCGATCACCGCAAAGACCCTGTCTCAGGTGGTATCACACCTACAATCCTGGGGTCAGGGCTCAGCCCCCAACCCAGTGGGTGAGCAAGGTCTGCTCTCACAAGGGCCCTCCCTGAGCGGCTACCCTGCCTTCCAGCCTCGCCAGGTCGTGCACCAGCACACAGACCGGCAAAAACTTCTTGAAGAGAGAACAGTGGTGGGGTTGGGCCGGGTGTGCCTGGACGCCATGGCCCTCACCCTGACAGGTGAGCCAAGGCTGTGGAAGGGTAGAGGGGCCAAGGCCCTGGGCTGCAGAAGACGTCTCCGAAGACGGCACGCAACCTGGATTTAGACCGAACCACAGACATTGACATCTGGCAACATCTGGCAACATCCTCAGTGTCACCTGGGTTATAAACTGGATTCTTTTTGTTTTTGTTTTGTTTGAGTCGGAGTCTCACTCTGTCACCCAGACTGGAGTGCAGTGGCACGCTCCCGGCCACCGCATCCTCAACCTGCTGGGCTCCAGTGATCCCTCCACCTCAGCCTTCCAAGGAGCTGGAACTACAGGCATGCGCTACCACGCCCGGCTAGTTTTTGATTTATTGTAGAGATGAGGTCTCGCCAAGTTGCCCAGGTGGGTCTTGAACCCACGGGCTCAGGCAATCCACTCGCCTCAGCCTCCCAAAGTGCTGGGATTACAGGCTGAGCCACCGAGCCCGGCCTGGATTCTTACTAGTGCTTTCTGGAAAGCCTGGGGCCCAGCACAGTGCCTGGGAGCCTCAGGCTGAGAATTAGGCAAGGCTGCAGCAGCCTCTATTGGCCTCATGAGCTCAGAACACTGGCCTCCTGGCCCGGCCCTGCCCCTCAGGGTCGGAGCCAGCCCAGGGATTGTGGCTGCCCCACGTTCAGGCAGGTATGAACCTATATCCCTGGCTGCTTGTGTGGGCAGAAAAGTCTGTGAGGTAGTGAAGGATGTGGCTCAGACATGAGTGAGACCCGCTGTCCCCAAGTGTGCACCTAAATAGGAACACAGTGCCCAGGCAGGCCCTAGACCACATGCAAACAGGCCCAAGTGGCACTAGAGCAGAGCCAAAGGGGTGTGGCTGTGGCCAGCATCAGACTGGGGTAGAAGCCAGGCAGGGGAAGCAGCCAGCGGGGTGCACAGGCTGCACTAGCATCTCCAAGTCTCAGGGAGTGAGCCCCTGTCCCTACTACCACTCTGCGCCCTGAGGGCCCGCCTGGACACACGCAGGGTCCTTCAGTCGGTGGAGCCGCTCTTTGAGACCCCAGCAGCAGCCCTGCAGCGGGACTGCACGGACACAGCCAGGGCTTCCTCTCCCTCAGGACCTGTACTCCCCAGGGCGCCTGCCATGCCCAGTGCCCTGGTGCCTGGCGGGCCCTCCTGTCCTTGAATGAAAGCATTTCCCTGCTGCTGCAATACCATGGCACAATCAGGGTCCTGAAAAATAAGCATGTCAGAAATGAGACCAGGGGCCAATGTGCAGCAGCCAGAGGCGGCAACTCCTCACCCCTGCTGACCCGCTGTCTGCCTCGGTGGTTCCCAGAAAAGCCAGACATGCAGGTCACTGGCGCTCACTCATACGCCCTCCCACACTCCAGCCACTCACACAGGTACATACATGCCACACGTTCTCACACGTGCCACAGACCCAACACCGCTTACCATACCCACACCGCATGTGGTATGCAGCGGCATCTGCCTGCAGGCCCCAGTCGGTCAGGTCCCCGCCACCCTGACTGCAGAGAAGACAGGAGCTAACAACACCTTCCTCCAGGCAGGCAGCAGCTGTGAGGCCCACTTGGCACAGGCACAAAGCTGCCACAGGCCACACCTGAGCCGAGCGCCTAGAAAGCGTTTATTCACAAGGACGGAGTCAGCCAAGGGTGAAGTGCTGGGTGCAGAGGTCATTTGGCTGCCCCAGCAGGCCCCGCGCGGGAACAAACTCCAGCGGCAGTGATGCGGGGCCCTTCCTCTTCAAGTCCTGCTCGAAGACCTGTGAGGTATGACAGTGAGGCGTGCTCAGCAGCCTGGCCCTGGCCCTGGCGCTGGCTCTCGAGCCCCACCTGGCCCCTCACCTCGTAGGCTGTGAGCTCCAGCAGCGGTGCGATGCTGACTTCGGGGACCGACAGGGTCTGGTTGATGACGCTGGCAGCTTTGGACACCTCGGGGTGGTAGTGACGCTGGAGGGCCTGGGGGCATGCGGGAGCCATCAGGTGGCAGCACCTGCGCCAGTGCGACCAGCCGAGCACCCCAATGTGGCCACCCTGCACTGCCAGCAATAGATGAGCAAAGCACAGGGGCAGGCGGCAAGGCCATGTCCACCAGCCATTCCAACACCCAGGGAGAGGGTGACGCGGGGCCTGAAGCCACAGGGCCCAAGCCCCAGGGAGGGGCTCAGGGCAGGGGGCACGCACCTGCAGCTCCCACAGGGAGCTCTCCAGGGCCCGGCTCTTGGCTGGGTCCTCTGCTGCAGGGTCATAGGGGTCAGCATCCAGCTCTGGGGATGAGATGCAGGGGCTCGACTGCCACCCGTCTCCCAGGCCAGGCCCCAGCCACAGAACTGGGGAGGGCCCCCAGGTGCCCACGTGACTCACCAAGGCCCTGTGGCCGGTGCACCAGGACACGGCAGGCCGGGTGCCTGCGCAGAAGGTTGCACACGAAGGGCAGGACCATGAGCAGGGCCTCGGGTGGGGCTGTCAGGGCCAGGTGGGCCAGGCGCTTGGCAAAGGCAGCCACCAGGTAGGCAGGGAGATGGCTGGGTAGGGCAATGGGCAAGTCAGCCAGCCCCCACCGCCAGCCCCCACGCCCTCTGTGGCCAAAACCGTAGGCCCACAGAGCTGGGTGGCCCAGGACCCCAGGCACGGAGGCCCAGTCAGGCTCCCCAGCACTCACGAGGATGACAAGAAGAGATCAGCCAGGTGGAAGAAGCGGGCACGGTACTTGACATGGAAGATGGATGGGTCCAGGAGACCATAGAGCTTCCGGTAGAAGTCGGGGTACTCCCTGTGGTGGGAAGCAGGGACAGGGAGCCATGGGGGACAGGGTCGGGACCACAGTCCAAGGCCAGAGGCTGCCGCAGCCCCCACCACCTGGGCAGGCCCAGGGTTCCAACACCCTGAGCCCTGAAGGGCCAGCCTGGGACAGGGAGGAATGGAAGAACACATGCCCACTCACAGATTGTGCTCGTGAATCAGGACAAACAGCCCATTCAAGGCCAAGAGACTGACGGCGCCCCCTGCAAACAGACAGATGTGGTCCCTGCCTGCCCCGGGTGCCGCCCCCACCGCATCATCTTCCCCTCCCCACTCGAGAAAGGGAGGATACAGAAGCAGGCCTGACCCAAGGCCCGAGGCCACTGCTGGGGGTGCTAGGCACTCCCCAGGCCCCGTGAGCAATGGACAATTTGGGCACAACCAGCGCTCACCGAGATCGTAGGCACCGGTGAGGAAGTCAATCATGAGTGCAGGCTGTGCCAGGTGTGGCAGGATGGTGTCATGCATGGTCACCAGCACCTTCTTGTAGATGCTCAGGGGCAGCTGGGGCGGCAGGCGGATCAGGGCACAGCCCCCCACCCCTGAAGACCCGGCCCCACCCCCAAGGGACCCGGTCCTGCCCACCCTACCTTGTGCTTGAGGAAACCAAGCCACATGGCCTGGAAGGTCTTCCTATGCTCCTGCAATGGGTCAAGGTTGCACTCACTGCCCTCCCCAGCCCAAGACCCCCAGCCCAGGGCAGCTGCCAGGGTGGCCTCGAGAGCCCAGCCCCTTTCCACCCCAGCTCAGGCAGGACCTCTGCCAGCCCCTGGACCACAGGTCTCAGAAAGGCCAGGAAAGGCCTTGCGAGACACGGGAGTAAGCACGCCTTGTGGATGCAGCAAGGAGCACACCACGTCTAAAACTGTCCACGGAATCTACACGTAGCCAAGTCCCAGATCCCACCCGCAGTCTCCTCGCATGCTTGCTCCTGAGTGACACTGGGGGCTGTGCGAGCTGCCACCTTTGCCCTAAGTTTCCTCTGGGGAAGCAGAGTGAAGGTGGGTCTATGGAGGATCCCACATGTGACGTGTAGACCTGCACCTGGGTCTCCAGAGGGTTCCCATGTGTACACACACAAGCAGCATCTGCACATGCAGCACCTACACACACAGCACCTGCCCCGGGCTGGTTCCATCCGCCTGAAAGAGGCTGAGCCCCGGAAGAACCCGCCCTCCAAGGCTACTCACCTTCCGATGAGCCACCTTCCACTTGTTCGACAGCTCTGCAAAAGAGCCAAGGATCACACGACATGCAAGAGGAGCCTGGGGACGCCCTGCCCACCCAGAACACTCACCTGTGCGCTTCACGTAGAAGCTGGTGACGGCCGGCTCCTGATGGGGCAGGCTCACAGCAGACAGCAGCAAGAAGGCATTGTTCCAGAAGGTGGGGGGCACCTGCCGGGCCAGGCCTCAGTGCTGGGACGCCACCTGCCACCTGCTGCCCACCCACCACCCTGGGAGGCACCAGAACGGCACTGGCGCTGGGACTGGGTGCTCACCTCAGGGTGCCGGTCAGGGGCCTGGGCCACAGCATCCATGGCTGCCTGCATCGTGTGGTAGCGAATGTCATCGTGTTCCAGGTACTCCCGAAACTGGGAGAGGAGCAGGCTCTGGTCCTCCTCAGGCGAGAGCAGGCCCCCTACCACCAGCTGGGGGCGAGACAGGGTGAGTGCCTCTGCCCCTGTGCAGCCCACAGTACCCGGGCAGGCAGCCCCCGGCCATGCCCCCCCCACAGTCAACAGACCACCAAGGAGACACGGAGCAGCCAGCCACACGTGCCTGGCTGGCAGAGGAGAAGTGTCACAGTCAACAGCCCTGTCCAACCACCCAGTCAGGAGGCTCCGCCTGCCCCAAGGACCCACCCAGGACTCCCAGCATAGCCCTCACCCTGAGGAGTTCTCGGGGGAACAGGTAGTTGCCTTCCCACTTGGGCTTCTCCAGGGGGCACGTTCCTTCCAGCTGCACAAACTTCATGAGTGTGCTGAGAGCCAGCTCCTGGGAGTGCAAGCAGAGTGACTGTAACACCCCACCCTGCAGACAGCCCCAGGCCCAGCCAGGCAGCCCCCACAACCAGCCCAGGGCTGGGGAGAAGAGGGCCCCGCCTGCCACCGCTCTCGGCTTCCACATCCCACTCTAGGAGAACGATCGGGCGAGACGTCAGGTCAGCAAAGTGCGGGGCTCAAATCGAGGCTGAGAGTGTACACTGGCCAGGCCTGCGTTGTACGGTCACCTGCCTGCTCTTGCTGGCCATAATGAGAATGCCACCATGAACCCTGGGGATGGCTGTGAAACACGTGGGCAAAGCCAGTGGGTACCTGACCCAGAGCAAGGCTCAGAAGCTCCCACCCAGGGCTGCAAGCCTGATGCCTCAGCCCAGGCAACACCACGAGGCAACACAGCTACGGGTGGGACGGCAGGGGCAGCGGGGCCTGTGCACGCAGCCGTCTAAAGCAGACTTGTGACCCTCGCTAGAGCCCACGGCTGCACAAGCAAATGGGGGCCGGCTGAAACAGAGCTACGGCTCCTGTGAGAAACTGGAAGTGCGTATTCACGCAATGCCCCCTTCGAGTCTAGAAACCAGGGGCTCAACTATGGCCAGAGATTTAGCTAGTGAGGACATGGGAGGCACAGGACCCTCTTGCGCTGCCTGGGAGCAAAACGCAGCTGCCGAGGGAGACAGTCTCCGTGAGCCAGGGGGTCACTGCACGCCCCTCAACACCACTTGCGGAACGTGTCTGAGCAAGACAAAAATGCTCACACAAAAGCCGGTACGTGAACATCTGTAGCCAAAGGCAGGGAGCAGCCTAACTTCAGCATACTAGCAGACACGCACAGTGTGGTGGACTGTGTAGAGAGACGCCGCTGGGCCATAAGGAAAAATGAAGTGCTGAGGCATTTGACGGAACAGACCTCGAACACATCGGGAGGAGCGAATGAGGCCAGATGCAAAAGGTTGCAGGTCACACTGTCTCACTCACACAGGACATCTAGAAACAGCAAGCCCGCTGAAACAGCAGCCGCACAAGCCTGGGTTGTAGCATGAGGAGCGGCTGCTGAGGGTGTGTGACTTATCCTTGGGCAATGACGACCACCTAGAATCACATGGTGGTGACTGCTGTGTGACTCTAAGGCACATGACATGTGACTATCTCAGCAAAGTGGTGAGAAAGTTGGCGACTGCTCCTGCGGCTGCGCACAGTGTGGGCGCCATGAGAGCACATATGAACTATCTCACTACACTTGGAGTGATTTCTGGTCCTGATTACTTCTTTTCAGCCACGAATGGCACAGACTGGCCAATGTGTTTCCGGTTACAAGATGAGGCCGCTTCCTAAGCTAGCCGGGAAAGCGGGTATCCTTACCTGGATGAGTGCACAAGATGCATCTACTTAGTGGAGAGCTGAGAGTGCAGGGGCAAAGGTGATGCAAGACCAGCGACCCCAAGACTCACCTTAACCTGGAAGGAGGGGTGGGCCAGAAGCTCCCCCAGGCGGCTGCAGCAGCTGCGATAGCGATGTCGCATCCACACCTTGTACTTGTACGTGGCTCCCCGAGACCCTGCAGGCGGGGGAGAGGCGTGATCAGCCCACACGGAGGCCCAGCCGGGTCTCGACCCGACCCCCCTTGCCCTCTGCTCAGCCTCGACGCGCGGACACAGGTACCCACGGTCCCCAGAGCCCTGCAAACGGACAGCAGCCACGGTCCCCCACTCTACCCGAGACCCAGACGTCCCAAGGGCCCGGACGCAAAGCCCGACCTACAGCGACGCTTGGCGCGAGCGCTGGGCAGCATCAGGCCACAGAAGGGAGGAAGCGCGCAGGGAGGCCGTCAGCCCTGCCCGAGCGACTCGAGCCGCCGGGTCACCACGCCGCCGCCCTCCGCCAGCCCACCCGGGTCCGGGCGTCCCCCCGGGGCGTCACAGCCTCCCCCGACTGGACCGCTGAGCAGCCCAGGCGCCGCGCAGCTCACCCGCCATTGCCACTTCCTCGGAGGGCAGCGGGCCCACGAACAACTCTCCGCGCTCCAGCAGGGCC